TAGGATAAACAGGAACAAGTTGGTTAACAGGTTATATTAATAGAATTATTGAAGTGGGACAAATGGCAGACGAATAGAGAAGCAGTACTTTGGGAACTACTTAACCTTACCAAGAAAATAGGAAAAAGAGTAACTGATAAACAGATACGTAAAGTTTAACATTGAGAATACCCAATAATCAGTTTAACATTGAGATGTTATTCAGCCAATTCGAAGAGTGAAGGACTTATTTAGTATAGTATATAGTAAGAGATAATATAGTAAGAGAAAAAGGCACAGCATGAATATATCAGAAGAGAACGATTTTGAAGTTGATTTAAACATTTAGTACTGATGGAACAAATTACCATCTCTCTACTATATCGAGAATATGTCTAAAAGATTAAACACATAATAGAAAAATGATTCCAACCACCATACTAAGGTAGTTCTTCTAAAATTTTCTTCATAGGATGACAAAAACTTAATTTTTTTTATATAAAAGCATACATAACAAAATACATTGTGAAATGAATACTTTGATTCGATTTTTATCGATATCTACTAAATGATACTAAGATAAACATCATAGTTGATTGTTTGTTTTGTATCTACAACTAAAAAACATCGTAAAAATCTGATTTAAATCGTTTTCTGGTTGGCTAGTTCTATTTTATTTTAGTGCCCGTATAAACTTGCACTGAACGGTACAGAACTGTGCTCTCGGAAAGTTCATATCATATTGGATTTCGCCTATAAAACGTTGCATTTAGGTTTATGTAAGAAAACTAAATAACATCGTACAAAAATTCGCTTCGCGGATTCCGGTTCAAAAATGTCACCTTTAAACAAATCTGAAGGGTGCCGGGCGAAATTTTTGGGCAGAAATTGTTTAAACAATTTTTTTAAACAAAGTCCAAAAATAATTTTTTTTTTAATCTGGAAAACGTTTTTTAGGGTTTTAAACAAAATTTTATTTTAAACAAAAAAAAGTCTTGTAATTTTTCTCTAGAATTGATAGTTTTCGAGTTATAAGCGATTTAAAGTCTAAAAAACGCGAAAATACGCATTTTTGAGCCTTGAAAACACATATGTAAAATATTATTTTTGAGGTATCTAAGATACAGCTAAGACTAATTTTTTTTTCATGGGATTGCGTTATAAACAATAGAGAATAATAAAAGAATTATTTACAGTTAATAAAAATATACCTTCCTGAAAATTCTCTCAAACCGTACGTGGGGAGCAGATACAAGAACCCTATTAAATTTATACCAATCACTTATACGTAGCGAATTAGACTACGGCTCAATATGTTATGGTACTGCCAAAATAACTACATTAAAAAAAACTAAACTCAATTCAAACAACGTCACTAAGAATTGCTCTGTGTGCATTTAGAACTAGCCCAACTAATAGCCTTGAAGTATTAGCTAACGAACTACCTTTACACTTACGAATGCAACAATTGTCACTAAATTATGCAACTTGTATATTATCAAATCATCAAAATCCCATGCATTCAAATATTTTAAAACCTAAATGTATCAGTAATTATAAAAATAAACCGATTAATACACTCCCTTTTCATGAAAGAATCAAATTCAGTGGTTACGACTGTGAGCAGTTTAGTGCCATCATAAATCCAACCCAAAACTTTCCCTCTTGGTCAACTACTCCACCAATTGTAAATACATCCCTTACTCGCTACTCCAAAACATCCACTAACCCAAAAGTAATACGTCAATCATACCATGAAATAATATCCCTATATCCAAATTCTGAACATATGTACACTGATGCATCAAAAACTCAATCAGGACTAGCAGCGGCTTACATACATGGAGCAGGCCATTTTAAAATACGACTTCCTCCTAGTTGTAGCATATTTATCGGAGAAGCAATGGCTATTTTAGAGGCACTTAAAGTTTGCAGAAGAAAATCCGCACCTCATTATATTATAATACCTGACTCATTAAGTACACTAAAAGCTTTACAGCAATTGTATCCATCAAATGAAATTATAATGCTAATAAAAAATGAACTTATACTACTATCAACAAAAAACATAGAAATAACTTTTTTATGGGTGTCATCACACGTGAGAATCAAGGGAAACGAAGCAGTGGACCAACTTGCGAATGAAGCTGCACTAGATGAAAGCATCCCTGTGTCACACATGATAACAAGAAACGACCATAAAACCCCCATTAAAAAACATATTACCAACTCATGGCAGTGTAACTGGAATTCCACATCCCATAAATTAAAAGCTGTTATAGAAACTGTCGGCACCACCTTACCACTCCCACTCAAACGTTGTGAACAAGTGATAATAACTCGACTACGATTAGGACATACTATACCAACCCATATTCACTTAATAAATAAAGAAGCCATCCCTTTCTGCACAACTGCAAGAACCAAATAACTGTCAAACATATTCTATTAGAATGCAAAACATACACCCAAGAAAGAAGAAAAAATAACCTCTCCACCAACATGAAGGATCTACTAAGCTACCAGTTCAACAAAGTGCTGAAATATTTGAAAGACATTAAATTTTACAGTGTTTAATAGAACATATTGAAGTTAAACATATACATTTATGTTAACATATATAACACACACATATATATATATATATATATATATATATATAATATATATATATATATATATATATATATATATATATATATATATATATACAGTACTTTTCAGATAAAACTATCCACCTTAAATAACTTTTGAACCTCTAATTTTTTGGAAAAACGCAAAAACACGTCAATTAATATCTGAAGGGAGGGACATAATATCATATTAAAGGTTGCTGGAAAATGCACCCTCTCACCCCCAGTATCAACCCTTTATTTTTTTTTACTTCTCCCTTTTTTTGTTTTATATTTGAATTCTCCTTTTTGTTCTGATTTCAAAAATGTATAATACCTTTGGCTTGAAGTGATTAGTTTATCAGATAGACAATTTTCCTGTTAACAAGACAGTATCTCCCTCACCTTAATTGACTCTAACAAAATAGGATGTAGCATAATTTAAACTCTTTAAATATTTAACCGTACTATTTGTAGTACCTTTAAAAACCAAGAAACAAAAAAATTCACTTTTTATTCAAGTTTTATCAAAGGTTTTCGATATCATTTTTCATATGTTTTAATCGGTTAATAGCGACAATTTGTTATAACTTGTAAGTAACAGCTTATTTTGATACGTGTGCAATTTGATAGCTGAAATGGTGTACACTTTGCAAGAAAGAATCGAAATTGTAGGTTTATACTACAAAAATAATAATTGTGCAAGAGCTGCTGCTAGAATTTTTAATGAAACACACCACAATAGACATGCAACTCATAAGTGTGTGATTGAACTGACGCAGAAAAAATTAGATCAAGAGGGTCAGTTTGCAATAAAAAACATAATTGACAGGAATTTGTAAATAAAAAAGCAATCCAAGTAGCTGTTTTAGGGCAAGTTAACTTAGACTCTTAACAATCACAGTCACTGTCAACAATAAGAAGAGCAATCGGTGTTTCATCTTCTACAGCCTTCCGGGTCCTCCATAAATTTAAGTTTTAACCATATAAAACTAAATTAGTACAAGAGTTAAATGAAGAAGATTTTGATCGTCGTCCAGAATGTTGCGAATTAATGATAAAATGCATCACTAACAATCCACAATTGTTAAACAATATTTGCTTCTCGGATGATTGCTCATTCTCATTAAACGGTTTGTTGAACAGATATAATTGCCGATACTGGGCTGAGAGTGATCCACATATTGTACGCGAATTTCACACACAGCATCCTCAAAGGTTAAACGTATGGTGTGGTATCCTACTTAATCACATTATCGGACCCTTCTTTATCACTGGAAACTTAAATGGTGCATCGTATCTTGAATTATATAGGCAAGTGGTTGATCGTTAGAACAATAGTAGCAAATGATGATAACCTTTCTGATGATTTGGTTGTATTTCAACATGATGGAGCTTCTCCACACTTTGCTTTACCTGTGCAATAATTTTTAAACGAAACGTTTCCCGGTCCTTGGATAGGTAAAAGACGACAGATGATCGATTGGCCACCTAGGTCACCGGGTTAAACACCCCTAGACTTCTTCTTATGGGAGTATTTAAAAACAAAAATTATGCTACTCAACCAGAATATCTAGATGATTTACAACAAAGAATAGAGGATGAATGTAGACAATTAAATGCAGACGTGTTAAGCAATGTCAGAGAAGAATTTCAAAATACATTGTACTATTGTATGGAAGTGAAAGGCAGTCATTTTGAACAATTATTGTAAAACATTTTTAGAAGTGAAATGTTTGTTCTAAATGTGTGTAATTCAATCCAATTTTCTTGCTTTTGTATTTACTTTTCTCATAAAATAATTACTTCAAGTATCATGTATTATACATTTCTGAAATCAGTACAAAAAGGAGAATCCAAATATAAAATAAAAAAAGGGGGAAGTAATTTAAAAAAAATAAAGGGTTGATACAGGGGGTGAGAGGGTGCATTTTCCAACAACCTTAAATATGATATTATGCCTTCCCCTTCAGATATTACTTCAAGTGTTTTTGCGTTTTTCCAAAAAATTAGAGGTTCAAAAGTTATTTAAGGTGGATAGTTTATCTGAAAAGCACTGTATATACATTGTAAGAAATTGTACTTGTAATTTGTGTTTATACCCCTGCTAATAACTCTTAGTAGTTGATGCAGGGTTATTTTTGTTTATGTAAAAAAAATATACCTGAGCTAACAAAAGAAAAATTGTATTGAAACTTTTATTACAGAGATTAAATAGAAAAAACAAACAAACTGATATGACGAAGGTTAAAAAGGGAAAACCACAACGAGACAAAATTGACATTTGCTAGACATGTGTCCATAAATATATTACAGAATGGACAGAGGATATAAAAAGCAGTTTAATAAAATTAAATATGAGTAAAATATTTCGTTTAATGTTGTTATAAATAAATAATTTGTGCAAAGAATGAAAAATATTTAATATAACGTAAATTACAATTTATTTATAAATCATAATTTTGGCAGTAAGACAGAGGCAAAATACAGTCTTGATTATTGACTTGAAAACTTGAACATCACAGATCATTCTTTGTTTTCTTCGTTTACACATGCGGACACTAAAACATTATCTAAACGTGACAATCGGTCGTAGCAAGTACAATTGATCGGATTGTCATCCAAAAACACTCTTCTCGCTTTTCTCAGTTCTTTCTTGACGTACTCGTCTTCCAGACAGTCAATATAATTATGCTGCAAACCTAAAACTCCTACCTTACTAATTTCAACATCAAAATCTACCAAATCGTTATGATCCAAATGTAGTTCGTCATATTCTTGTACGTCGAAAATGTCCTCATGCACCAAATTTATTTTGTTGTAACTGAACTGTACTATTAATTTGTGATCAACTAAATTTTCAAAAATATTGGGAGCTAGAAACTGTATAAAGTTGAATTGCGCAGATATAGTCACAAGACTCGGGCATTCTTTGAACCATAGAGCGTACGAAGTGAGCTCGTTATAATCCAAAATAATGTGCTCTAGTCTTGGCATGTTATCAAAAGCTCCAGGGCTAATTGTAGCTAACTTGTTATGAGACAAATTCAACACTTCCACTGACATATAGTTGAAAATTCCATCCTTGATGACTTTGAGGGGGTTGTTGGTGATATTAACATACTTCAAAGATTCCAAGCTCCTGAAACTTCCAACTTCTATTTCATTTATACCACAGTTGTCCATCGTTAGTGTACGTAAGTTTTCCATGAAGCTAAGATCAAAACTTCTTAAGATGATAGGCACTTTTTGGTTTAGAATTACTTCAGTTGCATTTCCTAGTTCCTCCGATACCTCCGCACCGGCGATAAATTGATGTCGCCGTGGATCTGCGTCTATGCGGTATATTAAAGCAAAATCGAATTTCGCCGCGGTAATTAGCACGACGGAATGAAACAGAAGCAGTAGCAGTTTTGTATGAAGCATTTTCGCGAAATTCTATTGTTAAACTGAGTAGCAAACGGGTTTTTAGGTGAGAACAATGAAATAAGTGCCGGACGTTTTAAATTTATTAGTTAATTCGTCGTCTCCATTGTGGTTAGGTCGTTCTAATTCTTGATGGTGTTTTGTTACTTGGGCGGAGACAAATTAGCGTTTTGTCACGGTTTTTAATAAATTTATACAGGGTGTTTTATGTGATAGATATTTTTTGTAAAATATAAAAGGTAAAAGTGTACATAAAAGCTTTTTGTTCGTTATTTTTCATAAAACAACTGAACAACGAGTACAAATAAATCATGACTTTGCAATAGAGTAAAGATTATACCGGGGAAATAAAGTTTTTTTCGAAACACTAAACCGACCAGGTAAACGACAGCTGTTTTAACACTTTTACTGCTGACGTTACGCATGCGTGACTTTAAGTTATTTTTGCCAGGTGTTGACGACATACTTGCGTGACATCTTTCCAGTTGAATTTAACAGAGCATTTTAAATGCAGTTTATGCAGCAAATAGTTCACATCTTGTTAGCGTATTACTAAGGCACAAAGTATTGTTCTGAAGCTATTTTCTTGTGGCATTTTTAATTAATTACTATTTAACTGGGAATAAGCCACAATTAAAGATAAAAATACGTTTATTGACGTTTCAATTTCCACTTCGGAAATCGTTCTCAAAAATACAAACAGTAAATTTACTGTCTGTATTTTGAGAACGATTTCCGAAGTGGAAAGTTACCTGTACACTGGTTCTTCTTTACTTCTTTGTACTTCGTGAGTTCAGCTCCAATAATTTTTGGTTAAACATAATTTAAATTCTTGTCGAGCTATCTTAAATCGCGAATAAGCCTATGTCCTCAATATCTATACGTAAATTTATGCAGAACTAGTCTATGAACTGTCTTCTAAAGCTCTGGAGGGATTAGGAAATGCCGAAAGGTCTTAATCTCGATGAAGGAAAAATCCGAATCTGCACCTCCACGCGGTAGAGGACGGGCAACATCAATTTTGATGGCTAACGCAGATAGGGACCGAGTGATTGCCGGTATAAGCAGTCCCCCACTTACCGACCAACGGCTCCGGGCGGACGAGTTGGTAGGTGGTAGGGCACTCTTTTGTCCTGGGGCTGAGAAACCGGCCCCAAAGGCAGAAGAATCAATGGTTTGGTCAACGGCATAAGAATATAGAAGGCAACGAGAAACCACTATATTAAAGATCCCTATGGATATCTCTAGTACAATTATAATGGCTGTACAACTCAATAAAAAATCGCATACTGATCATGGACATCGGAAACCAAGATCCGGCAAGAGAGGTCATTCCCATGACCACAGAGCCTCTCAGGTCGTTAATATGCAAAATCCCTGTGAAATACCCAATAAAACACCTTTAAGAAAAGTTCACACGAATTGTCTGAAGAGTATATCCACTTGGAACGTTAGGACGATGGCTCAATCAGGAAAAATCCAATGCGCAATTAAAGAAATGGAACGCATGAAAAAAGAAATAATGGGCATAAGTGAAATGAAGTGGCCTGACTCAAGTTATTGTGATATAGAGGACTACAGAGTATACTATTCAGGATCAGAAAATGGTAAATATGAGAATGGGGTTGGAATTATCACGCATAAAAGTATAGCCAAACAAGTCAACAACTTCATACCAGTGAACGATAGAATCCTCCTGTTACAAATAAATACGTCACCGGTGAACACAAACATCATACAAGTCTATGCACCCACAGCAGACCATAGTGATGAAGAAATATCAGAATTCTACAAACAAATAAGCAACCTTATAAGAGATATACCGAGACACGAACTCCTTATAATCATGGGAGATTTCAATGCAAAAATAGGTAACGGAAAAGAAGGGCAACATATTGGTCCACATGGATTAGGAGAGAGAAATCAACGCGGAGAAACAATGAGTATCTTTGCAGCTGAGCATGACTTAATCGTGCTAAACACATTTTACAAACTACCGCCTAGACGCCTGTATACGTGGAAATCACCTAGAGACAACGGAGAAGACGTTATTATTAGAAATCAAATAGACTATATGCTTGTTAACAAAAGATATCGAAATAGTTTCAACAGTGTTAAAACCTACCCAGGCGCTGATATTCAATCTGACCACAATCCTTTAGTGGGCGTGTATAGAACTAAGTTAAAGAAAATACGCGGAAAAACTGTAAAAAAACATGACATGAGAAAACTGAAATGTAGCGAAGTAAAAGAAATAGTCAGCAAAACATTAAATAGAAAATTTAAAGAAATCGATAATACAACGGAAAGCACAGAAGATAAGATAGAATCCCTTAAGAAAACAATAGACGACATTAAAGACAATTTTATGAAGAACGAAGAAGGTAAGAATAAGACATGGATGACGACAGAGATTCTGCAACTAATGGAAGAAAGAAGGAAAAACAAGAACGATAACTCCATGTATAAAACATTACAGCGAGAGATACAGAGAAAGATCAGAGAAGCCAAACAGAAAGAACTGGAGAAAAAATGCCAAGAAATCGAAATTCTCCAAAGTAAATACGACGACTTCAACGTGCATAAGAAGGTAAGAGAAATTACAGGTAAATGTAAAAACAGAAGAATAAGTAAACTTGTTAATGACAATGGAGAGATAATCGTGGACAAAGAGAGTATCAATGATACCTGGAAAAATTACATAAGAAATTTATTTTTTGATGAGAGAGAGAACCAGCCCCCAATACCTACGGAAACAGGACCACCTATACTAGTGGCAGAAATAAGAGCAGCCATAATATCACTAAAAGAAGGTAGAGCTCCAGGACCAGACGGAGTACAATCTGAATTTCTTAAACTTCTTGATGATGAATCTTTAAGAGTACTATGTAAAATCTTCAATAATATCTATGACACAGGCAATATCCCAAAAGATTGGCTACTTTCAGAATTTATTACCTTACCAAAGAAACAGGGAGCAAAAAAGTGCGGAGAATATAGGCTAATAAGTCTAATGAGCCATACATTAAAACTTTTTCTTAAAATTATACATCGTAGAATATACAAGCTATGCGAAGAGAGAATACAAGACACACAGTTTGGATTCATGAAAGGCGTAGGTACAAGAGATGCACTGTTTAGTCTACAAGTATTATTTCAAAGATGCAGAGATATGACTTGCGATATTTACACCTGCTTTGTGGACTACCAAAAAGCATTTGATACAGTTCAACACCAAAAAATGATGGATATTCTAACAAAAGCCCAAATGGATGATAAAGATCGGCGTATAATACAAAATTTATACTGGAACCAATCAGCCACAATAAGAACGAATTTTGGAGGTGAACCAACGGAAATGATCCAGATTCTACGAGGCGTTAGACAAGGTTGTATACTTTCACCTATATTATTTAATCTATATTCAGAGGAAATATTTAGTGAAGCCTTGGAAAAATGCGAACATGGAATACTTCTAAATGGAGAACGCCTAAACAACATCCGTTATGCAGACGACACCGTTATTTTTGCAGACAGTTTGAACAGTTTACAGCAACTAATAAACAAAGTAAATGAAGTAAGTGAAAGATTTGGACTTCAAGTAAATATAACAAAAACTAAATTTATGATCATCAGCAAAAATAAAGTTAGAGACGCTCAACTACTTATCAATAATACACCAGTGGACCGAGTAAAACAGTATAACTACCTTGGAACAACAGTAAATGAACAATGGGATCACTCACAGGAAATAAAATGTAGAATAGAGAAGGCTAGGAGTGCATTCAATAACATGGCCAAACTCTTTAAAAGCCACAATCTTAATCTGGAGATAAAAGTAAGGCTCCTACGATGTTATATCTTCTCAATATTGTATTACGGAGTTGAATCCTGGACACTAACTGAAGCAATGGAGAAAAAACTTGAAGCCTTCGAGATGTGGCTATACAGGCGAATTCTAAGGATATCATGGACAGACAAGATAACCAACGAGACCGTATTACGAAGAGTGGGCAAAGAAAGAGAGGTGATGTATACCATTAAAAGGAGAAAGTTGGAATATCTCGGACATATAATGAGAAACAGCACTAAATACAGATTACTGAAGGTAATCCTACAGGGTAAAGTATTCGGAAAGCGAGGAATTGGGAGAAGGAGAATATCATGGTTGAAGAACCTGAGGAAATGGTTCTCCACAACAACAACGAATCTATTTAAAGCATCAGTCAATAAAATAATTATAGCCAGAATGATTGCCAATATTCGGAATGAATAGGCACTGAAAGAAGAAGAAGTATATGAACTGCTAAGCCACGGAGATACGATCAGTTTACTCAGGCGCTTTTACATAGACTGATTCTGCAAATATGAGCGCTAGTTGTAAAGATGAACATACAATACTTCTGCATCCAATGTAATGATGCTTTTACTTTCAAATGGACTTAAAATATCAATTTAGTCAAAAATGAATATAGGCTACTTCTGCATCCAAGCGACGATATACGCGTATCGTATCAATACTTCAATCGTATTAGGTCAATTGGCCAGTAGGAAGGAATAGAGAGGTGGCGATGCGCATGGGATTGCTCACTAGTCCTAGGACTATAGCACTCGATGACAAAATAATTTTGCGAAAAAGTTGACCACTTTTACTCTTCGGCTTACCACTAAAAGCCCCCCTCATATACAATATAGAAAAAATGTTTTAAATAAAAAATGTGGCTGAAGTAATATTAAACAACAATGTTTTAGTATTACTTTTTGTTTAATTACTATTTAACTGGGAATAAGCCACAATTAAAGGTAAAAATACGTTTATTGACGTTTCAATTTCCACTTCGGAAATCGTTCTCAATAGTATTTTGAGAACGATTTCCAAAGTGGCAATTGAAACGTCAATAAACGTATTTTTATCTTTAATTGTGGCTTATTTCCAGTTAAATAGTAATTAAGGCACAAAGTATTTAAAATATATTTGCGGTTTTCAGAATTTCTCAATGAGGCGGCATT